TCCCCTCACTGATTACACTGTAAATGATAATCTACCTGAACCAAAATCAAAGTAGACTATCACTCACCCACACCAGATGGAAAACTCTACAGACTATACATATATTTGCCGCAGAGCTACAGACTTCTTCGACCTGGGCTACCCGTCATCCACCCTCACCGGAAATATAGCCTCTGTACATTCATTCTCAGAGTGCGTTATGTTCGGGGGACGAGGGTAGGATAGGGAGGAACTCGCTCCAGTAAACAACAATGGAGCTTGTTTTCTTTTCCTTTTTCAAGTGATTTACTTATTTCTCTATACTGTTTTCTTCTTTTTTTTTCTTTTTTTAATAAAAGAAGAAGTGTTCCGCAGGCCCATTTGCCTTCTCCACCCACAGTCCACACAAGGTGGCTCTTTTTGGCAATTTAATAATACAATACGACAGACAGGAACGAATCTAAGTCATTTTATTTTTTTATAATCAAGTCGTTTTCATTACGCTTCTCCGGCAGAGCCTGCATGCTCACTAATAAATAAAATACACTAGGGGGAGGAAAAAAACTAGTACTAGCTCCATCAGCCAATTGGGTCGTGATCCGACGACGTACGTAATTACTCTCTTGTTTTTTAGTAACTACCTGGGCTACCAGAGTGACCCGGGCCAACTTGCCCGGCCAGGCAAAAAAGTTAAAATAAAATTATTTTCTATTTTATTTTTAATTTGATAAAGAATCTTCCGATGTGACCCTGAGGCAAAAGTTGCTCAGTTTAATTTTCTGCATCACAGAGATTTTTTTTCGGATTTTTTCTAGGCTTCCAGCCGTGACGCCCGGGTCACCCTATTTTCCTGGACGGCCCGGCCGTGCAAGGACCAGGGAAGGTCCTAAAAAAAAAAAAAAAAAAAAAAAAAAAACGAAAAAAAACTATGTTATGCAGAAAAATAAATTGAACAGCTTGTGCCTCAGGGTCACATCGAAATTCTTTACCAAACTTAAAATAAAAAATAAAGTTAAGAAATAATTTTTATTTTTTTTGTATTCGTTTTTGGCCCGGCCGGGCAATTGGCCCCGGGCCATTCTGGGAGCCTCGAATTTTATGGATTTGTTTTTTTTTTTTGTTGTTTTTGCTGGGCCCTTCCCTGGCCCTTGCACGGCCAAGCCGCCCGGTCAAACAAGGTGACCCGGCGGCCCAGCTGGTAGCCCAGGTAACTACTCAATTACAAAGGATGTGAAGGAGAGATTAGAGCGAATGAGAAATCGCGAGTACCGATAATGTCGTGGATTTGGACGAGCTAAATTGAGGAAAAAATAAATAAATATTCAAATAATCAAATTTTAAAACAAAAAAATATATATATTACAATAAACAAATATGAAATAATGAAAGAAATTAGAGAGAATGAGAAATCGCGAGTACTGATAATGTCGTGGATTTGGAGGAAAAAATAAATAAATATTCAAATAATCAAATTTTAAAACAAAA